TTCACAAAAAATCGTGTGTTCCGATATTTGTGTTTCTTGCGCGTGACGTGTCCTCTTATGGAGCCTAGCTATGTCTTATAAAACGCGTATTGTTTTCTAATATATTATATTATATATAGCTACTCGAAAAAAGGAGTCTGTACAAAAGAAGAGAAAAACCTTCTGTATATGTAGCCAGTGGGAAAAAATAATATCCCAAACTTTAAAAAAAAAACGTAATAATCGTATGGGGCGAAAAAATATCGCGTCACGCGCCTTCTGCGCAGTGCTGTTTTCAAACTGTCGTTATCATATTATACATATGTATACTCTCGCGACAGTTGTGCGGAATTACGCACACACAGTTCGATACAGTTCCAATCGTCACGAATATAATGAAATAATAATATATACTATATACGATAGCACTCGGACGTCGGGTGCCGGAAAGAGTGGCCGTGGTGGAATTTTCGAGCGGGGTAAATCGGAAGAGGGAAACGATGTTTTATATATTTTATTATTATTACGTAAATCGAAAAAAAATTGCACCTAACAAGCGGTATTCTACGGCACGTCTGCAGACGTATACATATATATATATATTAAATAACGATTTGCTTCGGCCAGCGTTTTCCCGCGAGGTATATATTTTATTTACTTTTTTATCGCCGTACTCACTGCAGCTGCAGCGCCCATGGAACCGAGCCAGACGAGCTTGTTTGGCGCAATTCAGGTGTGTTTTTTTTCTCTCTTACACATAATAACAATATATATGCATTATGTATTAAACTTTCGTGTCTTATATTAAACTTCGGTCCGCGAAATTTGCGCTGCAGGTATCTGATAATATATGGTTCTACATATACATACATATTACATATATTATGCACGATGTTTTGAAAATACTGACCTAGTATCGACGAGCAGGATATTCTGTTTTGAACTATGAACAAGTCCTAAACTATCGGCAGAATAAGAGAAGAGATTCCGATAAAACAATATCGTAATATTATTCCGAAGAGGTTTCCCTTCGTAAATTAACATACACATGTATAGTAGTATGCTTAGTACATATTAAATATATTATAAGACATAGAAATTTGACGATATCCCCGCAGTAGGTAGGTACTAAACGTATTATAAAGAAATATATGATAAGATTTCAAATAAAATAAATCATTTACCTAGAAAAAAACTATACTGTTATTCAATACAACTTACAAGTACCTATATAGTTTTATACTCCATAATATATTTGACACTTAACACTATAATAGGTTGAAAGATAAAGGGACAATGATGATTTGAAAATTTAAATACTGTGTATGTAGTTACTAGTTATTACTGAAATATGAACATTTTATTTTTGTAAAAATTGTTTTAGTATAATAATTGGTTTATATTTGATGTGAAACCATTATCATGGGTCATTATTATGGCGATCAAAATGTTATTAAAGTACATGAAAATTTTCAATGACTGATAATTTAAGAGAGAAATGGAGGTTCTCTTCTGTTTAAAAAAAAGTTTGTATCACCACGATAGCTGTATCATTATATATAGGACACGCTTAAATGGTATTTTGGAAAATCCAAGTATCTGAAAATAATATGGCCTTTAAAAGTACATTTTAAAATTTCCAAAATTCATGATTTGCAGATTAAATGATAATATATGATATAGATTTAATTATTTAATGAATAAAATGGAGGGCGGGTGAGAAGATTATGCAATATTAAAACGGAAACTTTATAGGCGGCACGTAAATCGGCGTTTAGTACGAGTAAATTATTGTAATAAACTCACCGAATGTGCACGAGATTTAATCAGTAGACGCCGACGTCTTATACGTTTACCTATACATATATATTATCAAAATTATATCCATCGTCTTCGCCGCCGTTCCAAAAATCGTTTATGTGCTGCACGCGAATTGATCGTTTGAATCGCTCGTTTTAAAAAACAGTTGTAATTATTATGATGTACGCTAGTTTATTTTGCTGCGTATAAGACCGCATTCGGAAAATAAACTTATTAGATAACGTCTTTTAACATCGAAGAGGGGTCAGTACGTTTTTTCGACGGTAGATAAATATATACGTACGCGGTATAATGACGATTGGAGAATTATTTAAGGGCACATATTATAGATTATAGCAGAACCAGTGTTTATTATCTGTTAAGTAACTATAACGCGTTATATCAATCTTTTATCCATCGACGAACGCAGTTTGGCATATATTATTATAAAGCAATTATAACATTCATTTGCGGTTCTAAAATGGCTTATATTTTTTTTTATTTCTAGGCGGTACCTATAGGTAGGCTAGGTAATATTTATAAATTAAATAGGCGAAAACTCTAAAGGAAAAAATATTATGTCGTAGGTGACAGAAAAAATGTACCGTGGTCGTGGACGTCATTATGACAGCGGAAAAAACGATCAATTTTTTACGCTCATAAAGTTAGCAGCACAGCTATGACAGATACATTCAACAAACTTGTTGGACATTATTTTTGGTGCAAGAGTCTTAGACACCTTTGTGTTGCTAACTATAGACGCCAACAGCAACTTTATGTCAGCAAAATGTCACTCTAATAAAAAATGTCGAGCTCGATTTGTTGGACTACCTATACTCCGAAAATGTTTGAATGTTATTTTCGCCGGCAGAGCTTTCTTAAAAGTAGTGCGGCCAACAACAGTGAGACACGAAAGCGATTTTGATTCAACATGAAATCATATTTTTAATTTCAGAGTACTTAGGTACCTATCTGCGGTCCACGGGAAACGCTTCCGAATCGGAACTACGACGATGGTTCGGTTATGGCGGATCTCTGAAATATATTATGACCGCGGTTGTCTTCCCGACAGGTGACGACTTTATATAAATTACTCACAGCAGCGTTGAGCTACTGCTGAAAGTCGATGAAAGTTACATGGCGTATGATGTGGATATATATATATATATGAAGATAACATCAAATGTTATCGCGTTTATTAGTTATCACACTTATTCTCCTGCGTCCTATCTCACATCCAAGCCTAGGTACACGGCGGGATTTATTTCGTACCCATCAATCAGGTAAATCGTAATATTAATATAATATTATATACAGGTATATTTTAAATTTTAAATACAGTGAATATATAGCTGCAGGTATGTATTGTACATACCTACTGTATAATGTATATACGTATGCGTAGGAGGAAATAGAGGATTTAAAATGAAAAGTAGTATTCCACGTACAACCTAATCCTATATAGCGTATACAACTTCTAACCACCAAAAAAACGAAGTGTTTTATTTTTTTGCCCGGAAAACTTTGGAAGACTATTATTATAATATAATGTACCTACGTTCGCACTGCAACAGTGGGTAATAATCATACATATTTCTATCGTTATTATTTATGATGGTAGAAAAAACTTTTAATTTTTAAATCGCCCTCTGTACCCTCGATCTCGACCCGAAAACTTATTAAGCTGTTTTTATGACTCAGCACCACGGCGTACCCGGTGCCGGTCATTGTTTTATATACATATATACATTTAATTGCTTTAATGGAATATCTAGATGACTTTATTATATAATACAACCACGACACGTTAAAATTATAAAAATAAAATATTAATATTTTAATCGTTAAAAGCATAAGTGCACACATAATATATAATATATTACGCATGCGTAAATAGGTGTGTAGAACTTTCAATAGGTAACATATTATAAAGACGAATGCTGTTGGTCTTGTAGCCTAGTACTATACTGATTGCCGACTTGATATCTAAGCTGTCTTAAATAATATAACGGACGTTCTAGTTAAAACTTAGAAGGCACGGTGTCACCCCCCCCCCTAATGTAATAGTAACAATAAATACAATTATTTTACACTCGATATTTTTAGCGTGCTTTTTCATTTGACTCATATTATATGTAGAGTCACGGAAATTAATTTCGCTGCTATTTAAAGATAATATTTTGGATATTGTCGTCGGTAAAAACTTAACTTTTAAAAAAAATGTAGCATATTGTTGGACTTAAAACGACCGCCCGCCGCCAAACATGGGCAGAAAAGCAATCACAAATTCACAGACATAATACACGCAGAATACAGAAAGCAGAAAACGTATAGTGATATCACAATAGGCATGCGTACAGCTGCAGCTTATGCTGCACCTTTGAAAGCCGTTGAGTGCAGTATACATTTATTAAAGGGACGTGTGTTGCACATTTTGCATACATAAATATTTTGTTGGTTTATAAGTGGATATTGTTTATCTGCAGTGAATGGGTATGGAATTGAATTAAAACGCATAAATAAATAAATAAAACAATGAGCCTACAATATTATCATAATTATGTGCCAAATTAAATCGCATCTTATATAATATTATTTATAAAAATTAATGTTCTTTGTTAATCCTCTATATAGATTCAGAAACTCGGTTAACTGTTTTCAATAAAAGTGATATCAATATACTCTTCATTATTATTGTACCTGATCCCAAAGTCTGTGCACGCCTACGTGCACATCACTGCAGTACAATGCAGTGTATAAATTATACAATATACAGGTATCTTTATGGGGGTTAAAGCTCAAAATACAGAAATTAAAATAAATGCAAGATAAAACCCGCGTTTATTGATCGTACTTCATATACTGATATAAATAGTTATAAATTACAAATAAATAAATTATAATACTATAATAGGTAAGAAAGCGTGTTGGCCGTGAAAACGTTTTGAAAAAAATAGAAAATAACAGACATATAGATAGAGTGTGAGACAGAGATAGAGAACCATATTATAATGAATATAGAGAGCGAAGGAAGATAGCCGAGCGGGTAAAATATTTTAAAGACATTAATGTATATAGAGACCCTTGTAAAAAACAAATATCCCGATAACTAAGCCACGTCCGTGTATATGTAACACACGGCGCATAAATTAACGATAAATTAAGCGAAAAAAAAATAATAATATTAATAATTGCGCGAATTAATTGTGCAGTGTGCCTACAGGATTCCGATGACTCCGCATGCAACCCTGGAACCGGCGTGTCCGGTTGTCAGGCTGTCGGTGAACCCTCCGCGGCCCATATCGTCGGTGTCGGCGTGCACGACCACTGCGCGACCCAGGATGTTGTGGGCGCCGACCAGTGAGATGAGAGAGTCCGAGTAGGAGAACTGTGCCACCCCCGTGTTGTCCGCTTGGATGTTGCCCAAGTCTCCGGCGTGTCTGGTCTCGTCGTTGGGGCCGCCGTGTTTGTTCTGCGAAAAAAAAAAATGATAAATTACGTTAGTTTAAAAATATTGTATAATAATAATAATAATAATATCATCGTATTTAATTAAATATTTTAGGTAGTTATATAATATATCATTTGGCAGAGTTCGGATAATATTACAGCAATATTATGAACTAACTCACCACTATTCCAGCGCAAGTAGGTGGCCTATTCGGAGATCTATCAACAAAATCTCGTAGAAATCTGCTGTCCCTAATATTATATAGTGTAGCAAGTACAGCCCTTCCGCATCATATACACCACCTGGACTGCATTACGAGAAGGGTGGAGGAGGAAGAACATTAAAATGTTCAATTATAATTATAATTGTCTATAATGTTTATTAAAATATTGATTTACTCGTATATTTCGAAATGGGTTAAGATATGTATACAGACGAATCGGGGAGACAAAAAACATTTACTCCCCGACGTAAAAATCGTCAACGCGACACTGTCCCCTCCATTCTACCATTTATTAACATATTATGATGAAACGCCAAAGAAGTTTTTTTTCATAAGACTTTTACGTGTTCGTATATGTGTATTTAAATTGTAATTTGTACAGTAAATTATTATAATTATCTAAGAAGCGAGTAAGGGCCTAGTAGTAGATTAAGTGGAGATTTGCGTTCGTAGAAACACGTGTAAAGATGTACTTTGTAGAAAAGCAAAACGTTTACCAACAAATTTATTTTATATGGTTACTTTACTGATGATATACTTAATAGGTATGCCCATGCGGTATTTAGGTACAAAATGTTATACTTATAAGTTATAACACATATTATAATGTATTTGAATACCTGTATAATATAGTCGTTAAACGTCATTTGTGACTAAGACTAACAGAGCGATACACATACGTTCATTAGATTTCATAATTGAACGTTATTTTCAATACTCAATAATGCGATTTTGAAATGATATAATTGCATTTTAAGTGATTGAGGATCGAAGACTTTAAAATTGATGCCTTTTCGAAGAAAAATGTATAATATTACCATTTACAATATAATATATATATAGAGTGCAAATAATATAATATTAAATTTATATACTATTAGTTTTAAGCAAACAAGTCAGTAAATTCACTATTCTCATCGAATACATAGAATCGCTCGAATATTTCTCATTCTCAGTACTTACACTTTATTTACTCAGTTTTACTTCAAAATCACACGAAATGTCCATAATACGAATCCATAATATTCCATACTAGAGAAATTATATGATATATTATGTATTATTTGCGCACAATATAGGATATTCTTAGCGAGACAAATCGTCAACATCTGTAATTGTAGCTATGGTGTTAATAAATAGGTACATACTTTGATAGTGGAAATAAATTATTATAATCTACATATAGGACAGTTGTACTTTAACGTGTACATGTGTGACAGTGAGCGAAACACACATACGTGTATACTATTATACATTGCAATAAATGATAAGTACACATTTTTCGTTTGAGCTTTAAGACGTGTACAGACGAAGAAAGAAGAATCGTTCAAATTACGTCATCGCAGGTTGTCTCTGGTGTAGGCAATAAGTGTCAGACCTATGATTTCGGCGGTGTGTCGTTTATATGCATATACAATATAACACATTAATAAATACAACGTCATAATATCTGAACTGTATATAACTATGAATAACAATAATAGTAATAATATTTCTATTATTACATATGCGAGCTTGTAAACCGAAATCACGTTTATTTGGGTTCTTCACATACATGTGTATTGTGTATTTATAATATGACGCTCGAGCGAAGACTAATCGTTTCCAATCTCACATCACATCATCGCATGTGACGGATATGATATACATATATGTAATATATGTATACAACCCGATGACGACCATAAAAAAAAAATCGTATGTTAACGATGGTAAATATATCACATTATAGTATATAAACGATATTTTTGTATATAGAATATTCGTGATAATACTATTGACATTGAAGCTCTTGCTACGTCTGAGTGGTAAGAATGGAATATGGTCGTATCAAAGACGGATGTACCACGGAGAAATTATATTTTTTTGGAGAAATAAATCAAATCGAACTCTCACAAAACCCACATCAGTGATCGTCGACATTAACCATAAACGAGAGTATAATAATATATTTGTATCGTGAGTGTCCTTATATTACACGTGTATATAATAGAAGTATACTCAATACACATATACGATAGGTAAGTATCTGCGCATAATATGTAAGTACTGAGTACAGCTAAATGTGCCGAAAAGTTTATGAAGATGAAACCCCCCATGTCCAATAACAACCACCGTTAAAAAAATTAATTTAGATTATACAGTATACACTTATCCTATTCTACCGAGTAGCTGATAATCATAATACAATACAATTAGAACGAATATTTGTGCCAATGCCGAGCTAATTTGTATAAATATTATTCAGTTTCACGTCAATTAATATTTAATCAAAATAATTGTGGGTATCATTATAAGTTGGATAATAATACACATAATTAAATTATACATTTAATACAATAATTAACTTTTTGGTTGAAAGACGTAATAGGAGGTACCCAAGTAGAATAGAAGTATAATTATTATATACGCGTTAAATACTAATAATTAAATAGGCACACCGTGGAAAATTATAGAAGTTACAATATAATTCTTAAAAAATTAGTGCACTTTAAAATTTTTGAACTGTTTGTGTACATGCCTGTATAGCATGTACTCAATAGATTTGATATTGTAGTCAATAATCATAGCAAATATAGTCGAGCACAATCTTCTCGATCGAAAACTCAGTGTTGCCCGATAATAGTAAATAAGCTCAAGACTCCTGATCAAAAATAATGTGATTGGTAAAATGAATGAATTATCAATAACCGGATATCTTATAAATTAAGAATGAGCAAAAATAAAAACAAAAAAAACCTGCTCAATCGTACACAGAAGCACACGAACACCTTGAAGTGTAAAAAACGAAAATTTCGTTCTCATTCATTAAAATCGTTCTCGAGACATTAAAATCAAAAAATTCACAACATTAACTGCTCGGCGAGTTGTCACAGTAATAAATAATAGTAAACAACACACATAATATATTATATTATATATAGCTATGTGCTACCGCGCGTGGGGCATTAAATACAATTATACGAAATATAATACAATGATCGATTTTTTAAAACAATAATAATATCCCTATACAATGGTACGATATACATTATATTATACACTATCCCGGAGTGATCAAATCGGATCGTATATCAAAACCTATCAACGTCGGGTAAACAAATACGCACGTCGTGTTATTATAATTCAATAAAGGACGCACGGAATTCGACGGTCGTTACGATATAATACGCTCGTGGTGCATTTGTGTAATAATAATAATAATAATAATAATAATATATAATGCGAGAAACAGAGAGAGAGAGAGAGAGAGAGTGAGAGAGAGAGAGAGGGAATGAGCGAGGGAGACAGACAGACAGTTTCCCGGCGCGCCGCCCAGAGACGACTTTAACGACCATGTCCTTATGTGGCGACCTCACAACGTCAAATTAGCTCCTGTAAATTAACTATAAATGAAAAAATCAATAAACCAAAGACGGCGGGCCCCTGTAACAATGGACCGCTGCAGCCGCCGCCGCCGCCCCGTCGCACTTCGTCGTCGTCGTCGTCGCCGTACACAAAACATCAGGTAACTTATATTATGAGTGTACATAATATGTACGGCGGCGTTATCGCATTGTTAACGTAACGCGCGTTTCGAGTAACAAAAAAAAACGCCAAGAAGGAAAACTGTTTAATAATTTAACGTGGTATAGTCCTACCGCGGGTGTGTGTGTTCGAGTTGAAGGTAAACCGTTTTTTTTTTTTTGTTTCTTTTCGAAAATTGCGGCGACCGCCCGAGCACGTCTTCTTCTCGGAGCGTTTGAAATGTTCGTCGGCGACGACGGCCACCGCCACCGAGACATGGGAGATGATAAGGACGATAAGTTTAGGATAGTTTGAAAAGGCCGCCCTACGAATATACCAACAAATATGTATGTTCAACATAATGTTATATTATAACACGCATCTCGGGCGTTTGTGTGTGTGTGTGTGAGTTCATTACAGGACGATAAATAACTCGTAATAAAAAAAGATGGGACGGGGTAAATAAAAACGGAATGACAACAATAGCGGCTCATCGTAATCTACCGCAATAAACAACATGGTATAGGACGCTCTTGTAAGTACAACAACGATCCGTGCCGCGGTGTTAAACCGTACTCGTTGGCTGCTTGCTCTGCGGGAAGCCACCTTAACCGACGCGATCTAAGAGCCGATGAGAAACGTCGCACGTCGACTGCAATATTCAGGTCCTCCTCCTCCTCCTCGCGGGTGTCAAAACATCGTGTAAATATTTCAAAAGAAATGTATACATTATTTTATAATATACCTGACGAATCATATGGGCTACTGCTGTAGTTTGGAAGAAAAAAAAACAATGTTCTCCGACTCTCGCGTTTCACAGTCCCGAAAATTGTTCAATATATTATAGGCGATTAGGCGTGAATTTCAAAATATATTCGGGAAAGACCGAGGGATTTATATGATCGACGATGTCATAAGAGAGGCCTATAGGAACTTGTTTAAGGGGTCCTACTGGGGTGACAACTCACTGAATTTACACTAGACGTTTCATTAACGCTGCGAAGACGTAAACTAATGACCGTAACTATATGTAAGGACTCGAAAGCCAACCCTGCTAGTGAGCTAAATATATGCCTATTTAATATATATGTAGCCACTGTAGCAGGCGAGCTATATATGTACATAGGCCTACGATTCTATTCTAAAAATGCGTTACAATAACACTATACTGTCAGTTTGACACTACATATTATTATGCATGAATATGGAAACTCATGAGTTATAGGGATATTCGGTTAAATCATAATATTCATGACTCAAACTCAAATCTAATATTTCTGAAGATATGATT